ACCTTTTGTTGTATGGGCAGACACTCCAACCAGCCGAGCTATCCGGCCAGGACAGGGGGGCCTTGGTTTTTTGAAGATCTGACTACAGCCCAGTCAGGCGGGGCTCAGCGGTTGAGCACCGACCTAGGAGCCAGATCAGGGTTCGATTCCCGGTCAGGGCACATGCCCGGGCTGCGGGCCCGATCCCCAGTAGGGGGTGTGCAGGAGGCGGCCGATCAATGACTCTCATCATTGATGTTTCTATTTCTCTCCCTCTCCCTTCCTCTCTCTGAAATCAATAAAGATATATTAAATAAAAAGATCTGATTACAGGGTCAGGGAGTTGTATTCATTCTTTGAAACTGATTCTCAACAGCCTACAGAGGCAGGTCCTGGGTATGGCCACCAAGACCCATCTTAACCCAGAGTGAGCCAACCAGCTTCCTTTTTAAAAAAATTATCTTTATTGTTGAGAGTATTACAGATGTCCCCCTTTCCCCCCATTGAGCCCCTACACCCCAACCCCTCCCCAAGCCTTCAACACACTATTGTCTGTGTCCGTGGGCTATACATATACGCATAAAAGTTCTTTGGTTAGTCTCTCCCCACCCCCCATACCTTTCCCTCTGAGATCCCTCAGTCTGTTCCATGCTTCCATGTCTCTGGATCTATTTTGTCAGTTTATTTTGTTCATTAGATTCCACATATAAGTGAGATCGTGTGATATTTGTCTTTCTCTGACTGGCTTATTTCACTTAGCATAATACTCTCCGGGTTCTTCCATGCTGTGCCAAAGGGTAAGAGATCCTTCTTCTTTACAGCTGCGTAGTATCCATGGAGTAAATGCCCCACAGCTTTTTATCCACTCATCTCCTGATGGGCACTTGGGCTGTTTCCAGATCTCAGCTATTGGAAATAATGCTGCTATGAACATAGGGGTTCATCAGTTCTTTCTGATTAGTTTCAGGATTCTTAGGATGTATTCCTACAAGTGGGAGTCACTGGGTCAAAAGGCAGCTCCATTTTTAATTTTTTGAGGAAACCCCACAGTTTTCCATAGTGGCTGCCCCCGTCTGCATTCCCACCAGCAGGGCACTAGGGTGCCTTTTCCTCCACACCCTCCCCAGCGCTTGTTTGTTGATTTCTTGATTCTGACAGGTATGAGGTGACACCTCATTGTGGTTTTAATTTGCATCTCTGATGATTAGAGACATCAAGCATTTTCTCATGTGTCTCTTGGCCATCCGTATGTCCTTTTTGGAGAAGTGTCTATTTAGGTCCTTTGCCCATTTAAAAAATGTTTTTATTGACTTTTAGAGAGAAAGGGAGAGATAGATAGAAACCTTGGTGAGGGAGAAACGTCAACATCGATCGGCTGCCTCCTGCACACCGCCTGCCAGAAATTGAACTGGCGATCTCCTGGTGCATGGGTCGACGCTCATCCACTGAGCCACACCAGCCAGGCCTCTGCCCAGTTTTTAATTGGATTGTCTTCCTTTTGTTGAGTTGTATGAGTACTTTCTGTATTTTAGAAATGAACCCCTTATTAGCTGTATCATTGGCAAATATGTTCTCCCATACAGCGGGTTCCCTTTTCAACTTGATTTCTTTTGCTGTGCAGCAGCTTTTGTATTTTGATGTAGTCCCATGTTTTTTTCCTTTGTTTTTCTTGCCCTAGGCATTGTATCAGTGAAAATTCTGCTACGAGATGTCTGATATTTTGCTGTTTTCTTCTAGGATTTTTATGGTTTCACGACTTACATTTAAGTCTTTTATCCATTTTGAGTTTATTCTTGTGTATGGTGTAAGTTGGTGGTCTGGTTTCATTTTTGTGCAGGTACCTGTCCAATTATCCCAACAGTATTTATTGAAGAGACTGCCTTTAAAAAAAATCTTTATTGTTGAAAGTATTACAGATATCCCCTTTTCCCCCATTGACCCCCTCCACCGGCATCCACCTCCCCCCCCAGGCCTTCACCTCACTATTGTCTGTGTCCATGGGTTGTGCATATAAGCATATAAGTCCTCTGATTAATCTCTCCCCACCCACT